ACAGGGGCACTTGGGTGGCTCAGATAGTTAAGTGTCCAAGTGTCCAACTCTTGATTTAGGCTCAGGTCATGATCTAACAGTTCCTGGATTCAAGCCCCCCTGGAGCCTGCTTGGGATTTCTCTCTCTCCCTCTCTCTCTGCCCCTCCCCCCACTCACATTTTTTTGATAATAATAATAAATAATAAAAATAATAAACAGCATAGGAACTATAGTTAATGATATTGTAATTATACTGTAGAGGAACAGATGGCAGCTATACTTGTGGAGAGCATAGCATAATGTATAGAGAAGTTGAATCACTATGCAGTACACCTGAAACTAATGTAACATTGTGTCTCAGCTATAGTAAAAAAAATTAATAAAGATAAGTGGGATTTAAGAGCATGGCAACTCTCCCGGTTATTTTACCATGAATTACCAAACAAAGAAATTTGGATCATAGCAGTTAAAGGACCAGTTCACCTCCTTTCCCCTTGCCATGCCCCCTCCCCCACCTTTCCAAATACACACACAAGGAAAGCTTGTGAGTGTCATGGCCTGAAAACAGGCCCAGCAATTTATCAAACCTCCCTTAAATAAGAGACAACTGCCATGGGAATTTTTACCCAGCAATTAGTTGCACTCACAATTTCTATGGCTTTATTTAATTGTAAGCAAAACAAGGCTGACCAAAGCTGAAAACATGGGCCTCTTTATCCTATGACCTCATTCCATTTTAAGGCAACCTACTTCCCTGAACAATCATTCACGTTATTGACCACACCCTTGAACAACAATGTATCAAAGCAACACACCCCTCCACACAGACGAGGAAATTTTTCTGATAGTGTATAAAAATCCTGGCACAGTGAGGGAGCTATCCACAATCTTTGTAACCAAAGAAAAGGGGAAAATATCACCTAAACAAAGATAAGCCCAAGCTGACTAATTATTGATAGCAGAAGTTGTCAATAACACACATAAACATAGATTCTCCCCGGGAAGCTCTCTAGAGTTAAATTTGGTTTCAAGTTTTAAATTCAGAAGAATGGTAACCCATGCAGCACACATATTAAGAGGTCCCTTCTTTCACCAAAACTTATTTTATTCAATAAAATATTGATGGCCAAAGCACAAAATTATATTTAAAAATGAAATGTAGACATATGGAACACTTACAGACCACTTCCTATACATCTATCCTCAACATGGATTTTCTCTAGGATAAGCAAATGGTATTTGTTCAAATAATTACTATGTTTTCTATATAATAGGCATTTAATAAATATTCAGTTCAATTAATGACTGGTATTAAAAAATATTTTATTTTGGGGACACCTGGGTGGCTCAGTCGGTTAGGCATCTCACTTTGGCTCAGGTCACGATCTCATGGTTCAAGAGTTCAAGCCCTGTATTGGGCTCTGTGCTGACAGCTCAGAGCCTTGAGCCTGCTTCGGATTCTGTGCCTCCCTCTCTCTCTGCCTCTCCCCTGCACATACTCTGTCTCTGTCTCTGTCTCTGTGTCTCTCTCTCAAAAATAAATAAAACATTTAAAAAATGTAAAAACACTTTTTTTATTTTGATTCAATTCTCTCTCATGCAAAAGAGCTCCTTTGCATACATGGAAAATATCTTAAACTTCATGAAAAGCTAATTAGTAGATGGGAAACATATATGTTCAGTAATTTTACATCAATGGTATTCATTAAGACAGTTTTTCATTTTGTGTTGATAATGGTAAGCTAATATTTAAGCTTTTTAAAAGGTTGAGTTGTAAAATGTTTTATTTTGTTTTGTGTAGTTTCTAGAACTCCATTTATTTACAAGATTGCGTTCAGTTTTAAAATGCATCTGTGCCTTTGATTACCCCTGTGTTTGATTTTACCTGTCCATATATATAAATCTGGTCATTTTAATTCTAGCATTAATTTATGTAATTTCATCAGCAACTGCTTTCTACATTCAATTTTCTCTGTTCTATCAATGAGATAAAACAATAACTGAGAGAATAATGAAATATATCTATTAATTATAGACGAGAAACAGGGCAACATTATATCTGGAGAAATTTAAAATATTTATATTTATAAACCCCATCTGAGTGCACAAGAAAGCAATAGAGGAAAACAATATACTAAAAAGAAACAGAAAATACTAAAGTGCTGCAAAAAGCATTTGGTTAAATCTAAAATGTCTACTATATAAGCTAAAATTAAGATTCAGGAAACAAAGAAGAGTGACAATTTCAGTTTCTCAAAGGGAACATATTTTACTACTGACAAGTATATTTTATTATTTATTTATTTATTTATTTTTAAAATGTGTATTTATTTATTTTGAGAGAGAATGAGCAGGGTAGGGACAGAGAGAGAGGAAGAGAGAGAATCCCAAGCAGGCTCTGAGCTGTCAGTGCAGAGCCCAATGGAAGACTCGATCCCGGGAACCATGAGATCATGATCTGAGCCCAAATCAAGAGTCTGACGCTTGCCACCCTAGCGCCCCTATTTATTTTATTTATTTTACAGTAAGCTCCATGCTCATCATGGAGTTTGAGCTCACAACCTTGAGATCAAGAGTCACCTGGTCTACTGATTGAGACAGTCATATACCCCAATTATATATTTTTAAATCTTATGAATTATCTGAATGTCATCCAAAACACCAAAATGCTAAAGGCAATTAAAGTAAAAGTTTAACTGAATTTATGGTAAGCAACAATTGATTATAATACACAGGCCTAGCTGCCAGGATGACAAACTCTAGCCTCAGAATAGTTGCTACATACCAACTCAAAATGGCTCTAAAGTATGGCATATTAAAGAGAGACTTTATTAAAACATGAAACAAACAAAAAAAGATTTTGAGTAATATGTGCTGTTTGATTTTTCTTGGCATGGTACATAATAAAGCTTCTGCCACATCTTACCCATTACATTACCAGGAAGGTAATTTCATATAAAATCTAGGTTCTACTTTACACAATGACATCCTGTTAAGAAATAGGGAGAAAGAAAAATAAAATAGAAGAGTTTCTTCATCACATTGTTTGTGACAGCTACCTAAATAATTCTTGCCAAATTATCTTTTAGTGGATTTGTGAACGCCCTTTGATATCTAACTAGATTTGGAATTTTATAGTCAAATTTTCTTCTTGTTTCACTAAGGGAATGAAACTTCTTAGTTTTGTCCTTTACTAAATGTATAGAATTTCACTTACCTCATCCTCACACAACCTTTTTTTTTCTTTTCAATTAAAAAAAACTTCAGACTTCACAACATTCTCCATTCCAATCTCTTATCCAAGTTTTTGTGGCAATACTTGATTTCCCTAGGGTTCTTTATAAATTTGTCTATGGGAAACTGTGCTTCAGGATGGCAATAGTCTTATAAGGATTGCTTTAGCAATTTCCAGGTAGAAAGAAGAAAAGTCTTGTAAAAAAGCTTGACCAGCTTGGTCCTGGGATTTTTAAAAAGGACAGTTGAACTAAGGAGTATACAATAAAGTGATCCTAAAATTTGTTCTGTAGTCAATATTTACAATTTGTTAAATTTCCACTCTTAAATTTTTATCTATATTTCCTTTACTAGCAAGTTGACAAGAAAAAGGGTTAATGTTTTTAAATAACTATGACAGGGTGATTTTAGCATTTCTATGATAATAGTAACCTGTTTTTGCATTGTTTTGGGGCTACTAAGGAACATAGATGATACCCACTTTGTTGTTCATTAACATCCTAATACTAAATATTAGAATTTACATTTGCATTATTATTATCAGTTATGCAAAGTAGTATTTTTTTATCTTTATATTTTCTTCCTTTGACTTCAATACAGGTGGAGGTTTTTTTCAACTAGAAAATTACCTACAGTAAATTCTGGATTTTTTCTTCATAATTTTCCCCCCAAATTAAGCTAGGCACAAAATGTCAGTAAAATTGTGGTCTTTGTAGTTGTTGGGTTATCTAGGTCTTTCAAAATTCTTTAAAAAGTTTTATTATATACTTTAGAAATTTTGCTTTATATTCTACTTTACATTGTGGTTTTTGGGAAAATAACCCATATTATTCCAGATTTATACAAGAATCCAACATCAGATAATATCATCCCAATGGTTGCTTTTTGAATACTGTATAAATTTTATCTTGAAAACATAATTTTAGTTTAGACAGATGTTTCCAGAAAGCTTAAATTCATACAAATTTAATGTAAAGGGATTCAAAGAATGAAAACAAACAGAGCTGTTAATTTTACATAGTCTTGCAATGTTCTTTTACATTCATTGGCAAGATTATTAGCACAGATACTAATGTTAAATAGCCCCTTTAAAAGCAAATTTATTTTATTTTAAAGGGTGCCTTAAAGTTCTGCCTTTTTAAACTTTTATATAACAATTACTTACATCTTGCTTTCCTCAGTCCTATATCCATTCTTTCAATCCTCTGTCTGCCAATATTCATAAATTATTCACTTTGGCTATACAAGAATCAGTGTGTTGTTTTCAGAAGATGAAACACATACAGCAATTTGAAATGATATTTGTGCCTATCACTTATCCTGGAGCAGCACACTGTTTGCTGAAAACAAATAATTGCTCATCACTCCATATAAGCCATTGCCCCTGTACTACCATATTTGATATTAAAAAAAATCTATTTGTTTCTGAAATCAAGTGAATCAGTGGGAACTTACTCTATAAAAATCATTGTATTCAAGTTGAGGATTGTTTTTGCGGTAAAGGCAAATAAATACTTCGGGTCAGATATTCCAATCAAATCCAACAAAAAATGAGTCATCATATGCTCTAGTTAGATTATAAAACTCACTGAAGCTGTTAAAACAACCACAAGCACTAGGAAGTGAAAAAACAGCAAGAGATGGAATTTAGGTGACTGTACATTGCATATATAGCTGCAATCCACCAAGAGATAACATCCTGTAGAACAGAGGCAGAGAAGCTGAAAGAAAAGAAATGAGGTTGAAGACATCCCCTATGAATTTGGCTTAACTATCATTGTGGTACCTGAGAATGGTTGCTCCAAACCAAATTTTGGTAGGAGGAGGCAGTTTTGAGAGGGGAGAGCACTTCCTGTGAGTTGATGGGGTCCAAGGCCTGAACCACCTTGTTTATGGGCCCACTGTAGGTTCTCACTCTCTCATACACTACATTTTTTTCTGGAAGGTGCTGGGTTTGGCTTGACTGATGGTGGCAGTAGTAATGCTGGGTTTGGCACTGCGGCACCTCTGGGGGCTGCTGAGTCCCACAGCTACTGCTGCTGTTCTCATTCCAACAACTTGAGCTCATGATGTTCTCAGTGGTCAGCAAAGTACTCCTCAGACACTCTCCCTACAGAAAAAAACAGAGAGAGAGAGCACTCATGAATAAGGGTAGGAAGGAAGGCAAGCATGCACATGTAGAAGCCATTTATCAACCCCCTCTGCTTATAATGGTGCCCAGGAGAGGTTAGAGTTACCTGAGCAGCAGCAGGAGCAGGTCTGGCAGCTTCAGACGAGGCAGCAAGTATTTGAGTGCAAATGAAAAGTTGAGTCACCCTGTGAGATTGCTCCAGGAAATGGTACTGACACACCCCTCAGGGGTGGATTCACCTGGCAGGTTTACCTACCAGGAGAGGCCCTGCTTTGCCACGGAAATTCAAGGCTGCATTTGAGTAGGTAAGAGAGTTTGAAAAGAACAGAAATGTGGGATTTTTAAGGCTGAAGCCAGAGCTTCCAAGTCCACAGGCTTGGAAATTCATTTAACTGTAAATAGGCAGACAAAGACATGCTCATGCCTAAATTTACTAGAGAAAAAAAGTCACAAACATCACATGAAAGTGACTTACTCATGGTTCTTAAGCTTAGCAAAAAAAATTACAAGCATGGGTGTTATCATTCCAGAGTCCCAGACCAAAATATAAGGTATTTGCCTAAGGACACCCTAATTTTTACATATAAATTTGCATTCTTTGCAAACCCCAGCTGGTAATTACAGTTAAGGGAGATTGCTTTGGGGTCTACTTCTAGCAGCTCTAATTTATGGGCCTGTGCATCTTGAACCAGGCCTAGTATGACTTTCTAATGTACATTGAACTGGATTTGTCTAAATGATTGAATTATTGTCTATAAATGGGAGATTGGTCAAGAAAGCTGTTACCATTCCACAAATACTTTGCATTTCAGCATTTGTTTTTATTGTTTTGCATTTTTACAAAAGAATATACCCTGATTTTATATGTGCCCTAGGAAATACTGACTTTGATTTCTTTTTTAATATCTAGCTGTTAAGGGAGCTGCAAGTCCTGAGAGGTGCCTTACTTTATGTAATGAGATTTAAACATGCTCAGCACTTATTACTATTTTAAATTAGAGATCATAATGCATGCCTACTTCCCTACCAAATTTTGCCTTTCAGGATACTTTAGCATCCTGAACTCTAGAATACTCACCAAGTGTGTCTTCAGAAAACAGGTGTCTTCCTAGTGTGTATATCCACCATAGAATCTAGCATATCATCACCATCCTAGAGAAGAGGAGAATATTATTGAGCTGGCTAGCCAGGCTTTTATTTGCTAAGTGAACAAAAAATAATGATTTACTGGTCACTTACTATGACCAGGTACTGTGTGAGGAATTTTACATAGATTATCTGTCATCCTCACAACTTTATGAGGAACTGAGTCACAGACATAGAGAGGCACAGAAATTTCCCAAAGTTAAACAACTAGTAAATGATGGGTCTGGGATTTTAATATAAGGCAACTCATTTTAGAGGCTAAACTCTTATTTACTGTATTATTCTGCTAGATAAATTTTAAAATTGTGTTCTGCATCTGGTCATCTAACAAATCTTCTAGGTGGAAAATCAAAAAACAGTTTTTAACTGATCCTTTGTAAGTGACTTTAAAAGGAATCTTTGGATTTTTTGTGGGAGAGAGGTGTGCAAAATGCTGAAAATCAACCTTGAAAACTCTTTAAAATAATTTATTGTATATTTACATTGTGTGCTGTGTACTTCAAATCTAATCCTTCTTCATTTTAACGCTATTCCTCAAAAATCAATGAAAATTTATTTATGTATTTATTTTTAAATTTTTAATGTTTATTTATATTTGAGAGAGAGAAAGAGAGCGCCAGGAAAGGGCAGAGAGAGACAGAGACAGAATCTGAAGCAGGCTTCAGGCTCTGAGCTGTAGGCACAGAGCCTGACACAGGGTTTGAACTCACAAAACGTGAGATCACTACCTGAGCAGAAGTTGGACGCTTTACCGCTGGAGCTACCTGAGCGCCCCAAGAATCAATGAAATTTTACTTAGAAACATGTGATCTGACAAACAGCTTGGCAAAATATCAGATTGGTAACTTGAGAATATCATTAGCAGTATCATTTTGGATAAGCTTTGTGTGTGAACAGGGAATGGGTAAGTGAGGTCATCCAGTCAGCTCTGATTGTTTAACTCTGGATTTAAAATACAAACACATATACATAGTACTGTTAATATCTTCAGCCAAGAGGTGGCCTAGTAAATAAAGAGAAGGAAAGAAATAATAAAAATTCCTTCATCCATAAAATGGTGACCATACCTTCCCTCTTTTTGAGGCAGCCACCTTTATGCATTTGGGCAAAAATTAATGTGTTGGTTCCCTGAGCCTCATCCATTATTCTTCCCCATGGGCATGAAGGAGAGAAAGAACTTGAAGCTCAAAGATAGTATATAAGAAATTGGATTAGGCATTATCTGGCAGACAAACCACATCTGACTACGAAATAGATATTGACTACTTTGATTCACCTCAGAGAGGTTTATCAGTATTCTAACCAAAGTTTCTGCTCCTTTTCTGAGAATTTATTTGTGTCTTCAATGATCTGAATCTCCAATTGTCTTATTTCAACTTTATGCAGATGATATTAATACTCACCTATTTTTATTAATAAATTCATATAAATATATTTGACTGTTTAATAATGGTATTTGTCTTGTTTTCTAGTTGAAAATCCAAGGGATTGACACTGAATTCTGCAAGCTTCATGATTCTGCTACCCTTCTAATATTGGTGGATAGAATAGTAAGAGTTGATTCCTTATTCTCAGCTACAGACTTGTTCATGGAATCTTTAATTATATTTCTGGCAGTTATTTTGTTCTACTCAGTAATACAGACATTTTATGTTTAGTACTGAAAAAGACTCATTTGTATGATAGATTTGATTTCCTTTACAACTGATATCACTTTAGAAACTAATTTAGTTCTAACAGATTAAAAAATCTTTATTGTTCCTGCTTATAAAAATAATTCATTCTTTAAAAATTCAAGTACTTAAATAGGTGAATAAAGTAGAAAATGAAACTTCCCATATTGATAGTGAGAGTAAGGGATGGGTTAAGAATCAGGAATGTTTGCTGTATACATTATTGGTAGTTAAAAAATAAGTGATTTACATTTTGACTGAGATGTTTTGAAGATCATCTGAAAAGGTCTTGATTTTACCTACCTCATAAAATTGTTTTTACAATCAAATGAGAAAGTGTCTGCCAATTATAATGCATCATCCATGGATAAGTTTTTAAATATATTACTCAAAGATGATGTGTGTGATTTTTGTAAAATGTTAGGGTTTTAAAAGCAAATATGAATGTCATAGGAAGCTATAGGCCTGATTTTTGAAAAGCTTAGCTACCTAAAACCATTGAAGTAAAATACATCAGTAATTAATTTACCAAAATGGATATATAAAACTATCTTAGAATATGAAACAATATAAGTAATTATAAATTTAACACAAAATGAATTTCATCAGCATCAGCAGTAGAGTTTATATAATCCTGTACTCCACCTCTTGTTTTATAGGAATGAAGCTCAGGTCTATCTCAAGCCTTGGCCCACTGTTGAACCTCACGGTGTAATGGCAAAGGATAGAGAGTTAAAGTGAAATTACTCAAGCCTTTTTACTTCTGCCTTCTTTGTGATCAAGTAGAAGTGTGTTCATATGGAAAGGGTCCATAAGCATTGGTCAGAGGGAGCTGAAGCCCAAGGTAGTGAGATGATTGTATGAAAGCACCTATGTTTTACTAAATGGATCTAGGTCACTTGATCCAGCAGAACTCCATTCCAGCCTTTTGACAGAACTTAAAGTTGAGCTTGCTTAACTGCTGTTGGAAAACTTTAGACTAGGAAATGTTTCAGGATATCAGATATGAAAAAAACATTGTCTTGATTTAAAAATATGAATGGTGAAGTTTACAAACTAAACAGTTTAGTCTGACAACAATTCAGCCAACGTGTGGCTGATGATACACATACTTAAAATAGAGATAAGTGATCTCTGAAAGACCTTTGGTTACCCCCTATCCTGGTTTCTGAATCTTAGTCCTTAAGTAAGTGTTAACTGTGGCATAAATTTGCTCAGAACTAATTTCGATGTTACAAGAGCCACACTAGAGAAAAACAGACCTCAATTCTATACAGAGTAAATAACTCCTCAGTATGATTTTAATGCAGTTGAAAAGGGAGAAAGCTTCTATTATTCTTGCAATCCCCCAGGGATTTCTGAACTTTGCTATAAAAAAGATTACTTTAAAACAGCTTTTTTCAAAGCGTGTCTTAAATTACACCAGTCTATAGAGTGTTACACCTAGGAAGAGAAGTGTTTTGTATCCAAATGAGTTTAAGAAATAGCTGGTTAACTATACTTTGAGAAATAGCTTTATTAACAACATTATAGCTTTTCATAAGCTAATATACACTATGAGCTTCTAAATGGGTGATGTGATGTGTACAGTTTTTCAAGTTTTGCTGGTGATGGAATATATTTTCTGTGGAATAGCTTCAGTGAATTGTATTCTTCAGATTTTTTTCTTCCTTATGCTTTCTTCCTCCATACGCTTTAAACTAACTCATAAAGCAAGTGGGAATTCATACCTAATTTATAATTCTATCAATATCATTAAAACATACCAAAGACCATTTGATCAAGCCACATCACTGTACCAGTGATACTTGAAGTGAGGTCCCTGAACCAGAAGCATCAGCTTCACCTGGAAGCATTTTAGAAATGCAAATTATTGGGCCCCACCCCACATCTACTGAGTCAGAAACTAGAGGGGTGGTGCCCAACAGTCTGTTTCACAAGCTTTCCTGGTGATTCTGATGCACACTAAAATTTTGTAAATCCTGAATTATACCAGTGTTTAGGGCAGGCTTGGATAAAAGAGGAAGATGGCAGTGCCAGAGAGATGAAACTTGTAGTGTATTGGCTAAGAACTAGTAAGTAGCTCAGGTGATTAAAAGTCCTTAAGAAAGCAGAGCT